CTGAATTTAGCCTTTAGTTAATTCATTTCCCCATTGGTCACTTCCCTTTGGGGTTGCAAATGATAATTAACGGTTACTGCCCCTCTATGTGATTCTTATCACCCCTCCGTTTGACCCTGGAAGCCTGGCTTTGCACTGCCAAGGGAATACTGCTTGTAAGTGTATATATACCTGGACTTCCAGGGCGCAGGAGGAAGGAGAAGAAGATTTGGAAGAATAAATGACTGGACTAAGAGTTCGGTGTGCTGAGATTCTATTTCCTGAAAGTAGTCCTCTCTCCGGAGCCCCTGGGATGTACAGTAGTAAGGCTGGTCCCTCTAATATTATACAAGACTAAAGTAAGTTCTGCGGGTCCAAGAAAGTGTGTTGTACTGTCAGGTGCTCAGTTTTACTCGGTCCCTGGAAGAAACAGGGACACTCTAGGATGAATTTTAGCTTTTGCAGCCACAGGCAGGGAGGCCAACTTTTGGTGAACTGACTGCATGCAAACGTTTTTTTTTTTTAATTGTTATACAATTTACACCTTAGTAAGTCAATTTTCACATACCACAACCTCTTACCTGAAGCTCCCTAAAGAGACAGGCTAAAGCAGGTCTCAGTCACGTGACACCTTGGTTTTCCAAGTCCCATTGCAACCAAGTTTTGCAGAGGCTTTGAACCCTTTAGGAAGAACTCGGGTAAGATTTACATACTTCAAACAAAAGGTAGTGGACACAAAAGGCAGGTCAGAGCCCAGTGGGGACTTGCTGGGACCGAGCCAGCCAGCCGCAATGCTCTGTGAGAACTCCCTCTCTGGTGTAGAAAGGTCCGAGGGTCTAAGATAGTGATTTAAGGCATGTAAACAGCAGTTCTGAAGGTATAAGAAAGTGTTTTAAGGTAATGAAAAATGATTCAGATTTCTTTCTCCCTCTATACTATTGTTATATTAAGATATCAAAAGTTCAGGAAACCTGTTCCCAACGACTCAACCTGACCACTTCTGTGGTGGGGTGTGGTGATTCCCCTGCAGATCTTACAGCAGGTGGGGAAAAAATGACCCCCGAAGAGACAAGAATGAAACGCGGCTCAGCCCGATTTGATTATAACCGGTCTTGGACCAGAACTTCCAAGTCTGGCGCAGATCATTTTACTTCAGCTATATTTAAGCACAGCACAATTTTGAAAAAAAGTATCCAGATAACAATGAACTCAGTCCCAAGTGCACAACAACTTAAGACATGTTTACACTGAGATTCCTTACAAAGTACATCTGGCTTCTTTCACAAGAATAGGTACTGTTGACTCAGAAACAGTGCCAAGATTCGGGGTCTGGGGAGTTTGTCTGAGGTAAACATAATGGGAGTTAGGATTGGCCTGACCCTAACATAACACAGAAGTCACTTAGGCTCTTGTAAAGCACGGGGACCTCACTCATAGACTGGATTTTATGGTTTAAAAGCAGTTCTCAAGATTTAGTGAAAAAGTCTTGGATAAGTAAAAACATAAATTCTGGGAGATACGGCAGAGTGTGTCTCTTCAGACAGCAAAGGATCACCAAGTTGTAAAACGACATCCTGGTGTTCCAGGAAGAGCAGCTGATCCTCATTCCACTGAAGAAGCAGCTGGTTTTCTTCTTAGTTCATCCAGGATCTCCAGGGGGTTGTCCAGATCATCCTTATGCTCCAAAGTCAGCGAGGGTGAGATTTACTAACAGCAGAGAAAGTGGTCTTTGCCTCTTCCTCAGGGAGGAATGTTGCTTCCACGTCGTCATCTGATGCCTCTGGTCAGTGGCTTTGACTGTCCAGTATGGAACTGGATACTTCCCTTCTTAACCCCCCTCTCCTCCCTTTCCTAATCCTACTAATTGCACCTTGTCTTATAAACTTCTTGTCTAGATTTCTTCAACAACAGATCCTAAAGATTGCTAACCAGATATTAATCAGTTACAGGATTACAGACTCCTGGCTACAGAGTAGAGGCCTGCAACACCAATTATATCCTGCCAGTGTAGCCGGGCGGTGGTGGCGCACGCCTTTAATCCCAGCACTCGGGAGGCAGAGCCAGGCGGATCTCTGTGAGTTTGAGGCCAGCCTGGGCTACCAAGTGAGTCCCAGGAAAGGCGCAAAGCTACACAGAGAAACCCTGTCTCGAAAAACCAAAAAAAAAAAAAAAAAAAATATATATATATATATATATATATATCCTGCCAGTGAAGAACAAGCTTGCCCCACATACTTCAATGCCCCCATTCAACAGGAAGTAGTCTAATGATAACATCACCCCCACTTTCTTGTAACCTGATTGTTTTTCAATAATAAACAAAAGGGGGGAATGTAAGCCCCTCAAGGTACACAAGGGGTGGCCCCTCCTCTGAGGACCTCCAACTTCCAGTTTCCACCCACAGAACAGTCAAACTGGCCTAAGGGCCGGACCCTGCCCTAACCCTACAGAGTAAAAAACGCAAACTCTGGACTTGAAATCCCAGCAATCCCCACCATGGAAAGCTCTGCTCCCCTCCCCATGGAAAGCTATATAAACGCTGCCTTCTGCTCAGTCCTCTGCTGCTTCTCACCAGAGCAAAGGCAGCCACCCTCCTGGGTTTTTCCCTCCCAATAAATCTCTTGTGTGGTTTGTTGTGCAATGTCATTTTGTGATATTCCTTGGCTTGACTGCCAGGATACCTTTCCATCCAAGCTATAACGCTTACATTGGGGAAGTCTCTCAATGTACTGACCTTGCTTTTTGGCTTTTGTAGTTCTGCTTCTGACTAACTGTTTTTGTTAACTGAAGTATGTCCACCCAGAACATGGTTTTTGTGCGTAAAAGCTCAGCCTGAGAAAGGGTCAGGGCTCCACTGGGATCCCGAACACCCAGTGCAGTTGCTGGCTGGCTAGTGAAGAGTTTCTGTTGGCTTAAACTTGTGTCTGGGCAGTCTTCTCTGGTGGAACCCCACAACAGCCGCTAACCCTGACAACCTGGGTTCCGGCCCAGAAAGCATTCTTCTCATGACCACACACGCTCTGTGCTGTGTGCACACACACAATATACTTTATTTTTAGACTTATTTATTTTATTTCATATGTATGAATATTTTGCCTATAAGTTTGTCTGTGTACCACAAGCATGCCTAGTGCCTATGGAGGCCAGAGAGGGTATTGGATCCCCTGGAACTGGAGTTACAGATGGTCGTGAGCCTCCATATGAGTGCTGGGAATTGAACCTGGGTGATCTGCAAGAGCAGCCAGTGCTCCTAACCACTGAGCAGTCTTTCCATCCCCCCAAATAAGCAAAATAACCTTTTTCAAAGGTAACACATACATAAATGAAAATATATACCAGGGTCAGAGTCAGCCTGGAGGCAGAGTGCTTGCCTAGTATGTGTGAGGATCTGCATTCCATCTGCAACTCCATAGAAAGAGGATCCCTTGCTCTATAAGATCCATAACATTTAGCAGGCAGTGGTGGCACTCACCTTTAATCTCAGCACTCAGAGGTAGAGGCAGGCAGATCTCTGAGTTCCAACCTAGTCTATAGAGTGAGTTCTAGGACATCCAGGGCTGCCTAGAGAAACCCTGCCTCAAACAAAACAAACAAACAAACAAAAAATAACCACTACCACATCAAAAAAACTTATTTTGCCTATGAACAGGCCTTTAGGTCCATCTTATTCGTTACTTAAGTCAACAGCTGCACAGCCACAATAATTTCATTTGTCAAAGGTCCTAGAACTGAAAGTATTCAAGCTTCTCCTTTCTCCTCTTTTTTTTCACCAATATTTTAAAGTATTTTTTTGTTTATCTCTGATTTATAGCAGGATCTCATATAGCCCAGGACCTTGAACTCATGGACACTGACGTGACTAACACCATCTTGTTCTGATTCCGTTTGCGCCTGCCGAGACACTCTGAGCCTGCCACCCGCTAACAGCCACACCTGCCTTGGCAACACTTTGGGGGCTGTCCTTGACCCTGACCATGGTCCAGATGTATTAACCAAAATACTGTTTGTGCAAGCTAAAACAGAAAACTAAAATAACTAGAGGAAGTGTAAAGCAGAAATAATTGCCTTGTGTTGGAAAATACTGCTAAAATGTGCAAAAAGACATATGTTATCCCGTTACTCCAACCCCCGCCCCCACACTGACACAATTGGTTCTTAAGGGTTTTGTCTTTAAAAGCGCTGTACTCCTGGGCTTCCGCTACTCTTTTTTTTTTTTTTTTTTTTTTTTTTTTTAAGACAGGGTTTGGTTTTCTGTGTAGCTTTTGCACCTTTCCTGGCACTCACTCTGTAGCTCAGGCTGGCCTCGAACTCACAGAGATCCGCCTGCCTCTGCCTCCTGAGTGCTGGGATTAAAGGCGTGTGACACCACCGCCCCGGCCTTTTGCTACTCTTAATCTAGCCATTATTAAAGCACTCTTGTAGTTTTCATTGGCTTAATTAAATGAGCCTGGTTGTCGCTAACTATCTCTTATGGGTCATTTCACCAACCAGCACCCGCCTTTTGGAGTTGTTGGAATGACAAGTCAGCGGTACCTGGCCACCAGTTTCCCTGAAAAGGTGAAGGGGTCGGTGGGTGATGTCGCATGGAATTCTGGGGAGTGTAGTCCCGACAGGGAGCTGAGCCGGCCCCTCATCGCCTTGAGTGGTGATTAAGGGCGGAAGTTCTCATTCTTTTTCCGCAAACATCTCTCAAGGGTGTGCCCAGAGGGCGTAGCTCCACCGGATTGGTCCACAGTTTCTGCGCATGCGCACTAGCTGCTTTGCGGGCACATTTGCAAGGTCTTCTGGGAGTTGTAGTTCGAGGTTCCAGGCTGTCCAAGGGCGTTAGCTGGTTTCTGAGTTCCCAGGAAGGATGGATTCCGGGGCGGACGCGGAGCCGCTCGCGGGCCTGGTCTGGTCGTCAGTCCTGGCGCCGCCGCCGCCCGGTTTCAGCGCGGTGAGCAGGGGGCGGGCATGGGCGGCAGGGGCGGGGCAGGGAGGGGACAAAGCCCGCTGATCCCTGCGACCCGCAGATCACCTGCACCGTGGAGGGCGCGACCGCCAGCTTCGGCCGCAGCTTCGCGCAGAAGGCTGGCTACTTCCTGTGCCTGAGCCCGCTGGGCAGCCTGAGGGTGAGCAGGGGCATCCGGAAGCCTGAGCCTGAGCCTTTCCCGACCCTCCCCCTGCCCGCTGACAGCCCTGACCCTCTTCCAACCCTCCCTTGACCCTGCCCGCTGACACCCACTGCCCTTCCTCCCTGCTTCTGCCCCTACCCTCCCTGCTCACACCGTTAACCCTTAATCCCTGCTGTCCGCCCTCCTCCATCTGCCCGGTCTCCTACTCCCAGAGCGCTCAGGACAATGTGGTAGTGGACATGCAGATCGTGATGGACAAGGGCCCCCTGCCGTCCGGCTTCTCTGCAGTCAACGACCCTCTAGACACCAGTAAGATCCGTGGGCCCACAGAAGAGCAACAGGCATAGGAAGCGGCTGTCTGGTACAGAATATGACTTAGCTGGGTAGAGAGGCACAACCTGTTAATGAAGAACTTGGGAAGCTGAGGCAGGAGGATGGTAGGGAGTTCAAGTCTAGCCGGACTACAGAGTGAGGCTTTGTCTCAACCCACTACCCCCAAATTAAACAGTTGACACACTCCTGTCACACTAGCACTCAAGCTGAAGCAAGAGCATGGCTGTGAGTTAGTCTTCGCTTCCCCTGAGAAGTTGGGCGTAGTGGGGCACACCTGTCACCAGCCTGGGCTACACGGAACCCTGTCTCAAAACAAACAACACTCCCAAATGTTTTTGGCACACCCACCCGCCTTACTGAGCGACGCTGGTCACTGCTGCTTGCCCTCTGCTTCTGTGGCCGAGGGAGACCTCCTCGCCGTTCTCTTTTCCTTTCCAGGCTCTTGCACCGCGGGTACACCTGGAACTGGCTTCCCCTGCTCTCTGCATAGCTCAGCTCCCCTCCCCCACCCCTGTCGGACCCAGCTGCCCACTTCCCCATGGTGCTTGGTTCTCAAGGTGTCTTTAGTGGCTCCGCAGAGGGTCAGGTCAGTGTGCAGACAGGAGGCTTCCGAAAATTCCCCTGCCCTCCTTTTGCTGCCGTGATTCACTGGCTTTACAGGTGGGGGCAGGGTCTCAGTGTGTAGTCCCAGCGGGCCTGGAACTTCAGTCCTCTCCTTCAGGGATTCACGGGCATGAACCGTCATGCCCAGCCCCTTGCAACTGTCTTAACCTGCTGGGTATGGGGCTGCTGCTCTTTATCCCAGTGCTTGAGAGGCTGAGGCAGGAGGATTGCTTCTAGTTCAGAGCCCCTTTGGGCTATGTGGTGAATTCCAGGGCAGCATAGACTACAGAGTGAGACCCTGTCACAAAAGCCAGGGCTAGGACCGTAGCCCGGCTGGCAGCTTCCCACTCACTGTGCATGGAGCCTGGCTCCATCCCCAGCACCACATAATGGGCATGCCATCCAGCACTCAGGAGACCATCCTCAGCTACATAGTGATTTTGAGGCCAACCTGGGCTACTTGAGACTCTATCTAATAAACACAAATACATATAATACAGATAGCCTTTCCCACCCCAAGAAGCACAACCAACAGCCTTGGGCTGGATTTTTTTTTAAAAAGAGCAGTTTTGTGACACACACACACACACACACACACACACACACACACACACACACACACACACACGTTATAGGACCAGGGAACGTGAGGTTGGGTTGCCAAAATAGATACGCCACTGTCGATTCCACAGCCACCCCACAAATATTCAACAAAAGTCAGCCTGCTTCGATGACTCCAAAAGTTAGTGCCATCCCCTCCTATGATTACCATTTATGATTTAACCAGCTCCCCAGTGTTGTCCCGAAACACTGCTGGTGAGCATCTCTGGGTGCTCCCCCCTGGGTGCTCCCCTCTGGGTGCTCCCCTCCCTGCCCTGCTCCCCTCTCTCACTCCCCTGCCCCCACTCCCAGAGGCCTCTGTGTCCAAGAAGAAGCGCATGTGTGTGAAGCTGATGCCCCTGGGGGCTGCTGACATGGTTGTGTGTGACGTGAAGCTGAGTGGGAAGACCAAGACGGTGCCTGGATACCTGCGAGTGGGGTATGGTAGAGCATCCCCGTCCTTAAGCTCCTTCCCTGCCGTTTTACCTCCAGATTTGACCTCTTTCTCATCCCTCTGCATGTGGGGATGAGGATCTCAGGGGCCCAAAGTCAGTACGCTGGTTGGGATGAGGTGGAGCTTCGGAAAGAAAAATACCCCAAATGGTGGTCACACAGAGATACAGGCCCGCCCTGCCAGCCCCGGCTTCTCAGAGCATTGGTTTCCTCCTGTCCCCGCCCCTTGCTCCAGGGACATGGGTGGTTTTGCCATCTGGTGCAAGAAATCCAAGGCCCCGAGGCCGGTGCCCAAGCCCCGCACTGTGAGCCAGGATATGCAGGGCCTCTCGCTGGACCCACCCAGACAGCCCAGGTGAGGCCCAGGCACCCCGGTGGGCAGATGGGCCAAGAGGAAGACTTCCAGCCTGACTGAGGTCACTGTCCCCTGCTCCCCAGCAAAGGAAGCCATCCCGAGCGGACGTTGTCCAGGCTAGGTTCCCGGGCATCCACTCTGCGGAGGAATGACTCCATCTATGAGGCGTCCAGTCTCTATGGCATCTCAGGTGAGCAGGGTGGAGACGCTGCAGCCTGGATGGGAGCTATGACTTTCCCACTGCATGGGGGCCTCTCCCCGGCCCTCCCACCAAGCTTTTTATTTTTAAGATTTATTTTAATTTTATGTACGTGCATGTTTTGCCTGCATGAGGTCCAGTGTGCCATGGGTGTGCATGGCCCTGGGTGGGGTGGAGAGGAGGACGGATCCCCTGGAACTGGAGTTAAAAAGGGTTGTGAGCTGCCGTGTGGGTGGGGGGAGCCCCCAGACTGTGATTTCCCCCCTTGGCGGTTGGGGGGTGAGACAGCTGGGACGTCATGCTCTGCAGGCGCCCAGGGCAGAATCCAGGGTGTGCTGTGTGGCCCTCTTCCTGGGCTGACATTAACAAATTTCTCCAGATAGAGCACCAACAACAGACCAAACTACAGAGTCCAGTTTAGGGAGCTAGCGGGTTTATTGGGCTTGTGGCTCTTGGACGAGCTGCAGGAGCGCATGGGACCCAAAACCAGAATCACAGCCGCTGTAACGAAGATGGCTCTGTGCTAGGGATCGGTCTATGCTCCCTGGGTTGGCGGGGTGGCAGGGGAGGGGGGCTGCAGGGTGTCCTGGGCCTTCCACCTGCATCTCTGGGAATTTTCCTTGCAGCCATGGATGGGGTTCCCTTTACACTGCACCCCCGTTTCGAGGGCAAAAGCTGCGGGCCTCTGGTGAGTCAGCGTCCCTGGGATCTGGGCGCCTGAGTCAGCCCCTGTTTAAGGGGCTATGACATTCTCGCTGAATGACCCAGCACAGTGACTGAATGGATGAGGGATGGAGACCAGGGGATCCCAGAGTAGGGATGTGAGGAGTGGGGTGAGACTCAGGCTAGTGTTTGTGGAGCATTAGGGCCGGGTAGGGTGTTGCTCGTCCATCATCCCAGTCCTCAGGAGGTGGAGGCAGGGGCTCTGGAGCAAGCTCATCCTTGGTTACATAGTTTGAGGCCAGCTCGGGCTACATGAAACACCGTCTGAGAAGTTGGGGGCATGCTTGAAGAGATAGCTCAGCCGGCACCTGCCACGAAGCCTTGCCTTAGTTCAGTTCTTGGGTCCCACATAGCAGAAGGAGAGACTGACTCCTGGAAGTTATCCTTGAACCTCATAGGCCGTGGTGAGTGAGTGTGCGTGCACGTGGCGTGCACACACACCAGGGTTCAGTGGGACTCGGGCCTCACGCTCTTTCTTCTGTCCACTAGAACTTTTCTGCCTTTGGGGACCTGACCATTAAGTCACTGGCAGACATTGAGAAGGAGGTAAGTCAGGGCTGCACGGAGTGCTGGGGCCCCACGCAGGTCCCCCAACTCCCCAGTCTGCCCCCACTCCTCAGTCACTCCCAGTGTACCCCTCCAGTCCCCAGCGCCTCCTTCAGCCCCTCTCCCCACTCCCGCAGTATAACTATGGCTTCGTGGTGGAGAAGACGGCAGCGGCGCGCCTGCCCCCCAGCGTCTCCTGAGCCTGCCTCGGGTGCCCCCGACCGCCACCCACTGCTGGTTGACATCCAGCCTCGCAGCCTCGAGATAGGGTCTCCTGCCTGGAGGTGCAGGGGCGGCCTGGATGGCACCTTCTCTTCACTTGTCAAATCTTGTGTCTGGAAGGCTGCGCATGCGCCCATGCTCCGGCACTAAACACTTCCTGGTACCCGCTGCGTGGAGTCTTTTGTTTTCTTTCTTTTAAGATTTATTTAGATTTTAATTGTGTGTGCGTGTGTGTGCGTGTGTGTGTGTGTATATGTGTGTGTATGTGTGTGTGTGTATATGTGTGTGTGTGTGTGTGTGTGTGTGTGTGTGTGTGTGTGTGTGTGTGTGTGTGTGTGTGTGTGAATGCAGGTGCTCTTGGAGGCCAGAAGACAGCATTGGATCCTCTGGAGCTGGAGCCCCAGGTGGCTCTGAACTCCCTGACATGGGTACTGGGGACTGAACTCAAGTCCTCTGCAAGTCCTTTATGTTATTTATGAGACAGGACCTCATGTAGTCCAGGTGTCCGAAAACCCACTGCATGGCCCAGGGTGTCTTCAAGCTCTGCCCACCTGGTTTATATGGCGCTCAGCATGGGTGCCAGGGTCTTGTGCATGCCTGGTGTGCACCCTGCCAGCTGAGGTACAGCCTCAGCCTTAGTTATTTATTTTGAAATTTTGGGGTTTTCTGGACATTGGTTTCGTGCAGCTCAGCCAGGATGACCGTGAACTTAAATTTTATGTGTATTGGTGTTTGCTTTGCCAGCATGTATGTCTGTGAGGGTGTCAGAAGCCCTGGAACTGGAGTCACAGACAGTTGTGAGCTGCCGTGTGGGTGCTGGGAATTGAACCCAGGTCCTCTGGAGTAGTAGAGCCATCTCTCCAGCCCTGAACTTAAATATTTTTTACTTCTATTTATTTGTGGGAAGAGGGACTCCTGAGTGCTGTGTGCAGAGGTCAGAGAGAGTTTGGAGGCTATGTGGCTGTCTCTGAGGCACGCCTGCATCCCACAGTGAAGCTCCCTCACCTGAGGAAGGAAGCAACTCAGTCACCTCAGGAAGTCCCTAAAACTGACCAGATGCACTAGGCCTCGCCCTCCCCAAGCATGTGTAAGCTGTAAGGGCTGCTGAGAGAGGCTTAGACAAGCTGAGAATCCTGGAAAGGACACCAACCTGTCCTGCACACCAGGCTCCCAGCTGTGAGCTGTCACCCCTACTGGGGTGGGCTGTGGTGATGCAGCTGTTGTCTTTTCTGCTCCTGTAGGTGACCCAAATGAACTCAGTGTTTCATCAAGTTGGTATTGGTACTTTGTGGTTGGTTCCGCATTGGGGTTAGTAGATATTAGTTCACATCTAGCCAGGTAGAGTCACACAACGCCTCCCTCCGTGTGAGTCCTGGGGTTTGAACTCCGGTTGTCAGGCTTGGCTGCAAGCCCCTTTCCCTGATGAGCCATGTCACCCACCCTCTTTAGAGAAAACTCACACTTGGAGTTTACCCACAGAAACAATGATTCTCACTTCATAATAAGAGCCCTGAAGACTGACTGTGCTTAAAAACCAAGCTGTGTACTTTATATCCTTGCAAAGTGGGCTATGAGCCTAGAGTGACGGGTGTTGGGGTGTGTTTGATCACACTGTGAACCCCAAATTTGCATTAATTAAATAAATTAACTTTGGGTCAGAAGAAAGCTCTCTTTGGGAGACACCAGCAGGCAGAGAAGGGTAGCTGGGTACTACTCAACCCCTCTGAGCTAGCAGATTTTCACCCCAGCCTTTGAATCTCGAGTCTTATTTATAGATATAATGATAGAGATTTAGTTAAAGCTACCTTTAGCGGCAGCGACACAGCCAGTGCCTGTGGGAACAGAATTCCTGCCAGGCTGTGACCTGAGCAGCCAGGCTGCTGCCAGAGAAGCAGGCCAGTAACTTCAGAGTCATAATTGCTGGCTGAAATAGTTAATAATAACTAAGGTGCAGCCACTGTGCCAAAGTTAAAGCAACAGGCGGATGTGCAGGCTGTCTGCAAGATTGTAAACCCTGATGTGAGACCCCGCACTCCTCTACTGAGGGCCCAGGGTGGTGCACTCTTACATGTCATCTAAATCTTTATTTGAATGTATGTGTGTGTGCACATGCATGCCAGAGCCCTTGGAGGCCAGAAGAAGGCTCCAGATGCTCTGGAGCTGGAGTGGGTGCTGGGAATAGAGTGTGGGTCCTGTGGAGCAGCAGCGAGTGCACCTCCTGGGTGAGCCATCCCTCCAGTCCTCCTCTGAACCTCAGCCCTTCCCCTTGGCCTTCGTTTCTCTTTTTCTGAACAAAGACCATGCTTGCTGCGTCTCTGTCTCACACCCTGTTCATTTTAAAGCTTAACAGACATGACCCTGAGGCAGCCCGGCTGTTCATGGTTGTCTAAACTTGGGTGTGGGTGAGGGGAGAAATAACCCTGGTGTTTTCTACGTTGGCATGAGGCACCTTTGGAAACAAACCTGGGTTTTGTCTGACATTGGAAAGGCACACGAAACCTTTGTGTTTAGAGCTCCAGTTTCGGCAGGATGCTGTGGGAGGACCCTTCTGTACGCTGTGAATGTGTTGCTGTCATTGGTTGATAATAAAGCAGTTTTGGCCTGTGGCAAGGCAGGATAAGGTGAAGTGGTTCAATCAAACTGAGGACCCAGAGGAAGAGGGCGGAGTCAAGGCAGACACTTCAAGATGTGAAGGAACTGGTAAGCCGTGGGCCACATAATATTACATAGAATAATAGAAACGGGTTAATTTAGATATAAGAGCTAGCTAGTAATAAGTCTAAGCCTTCGGCCAAACATTTATAATTAATATAAGCCTCTGTATGGTAATTTGAGGAGCGCATCGGGGGTATAATTGGGCAGAAGAGACAGAAAGTTCCATTCCAATGTGCTGCACGAACATTCACATAAAGCCTGAGGAAGCTTTAAAAAGGGTTCTAGAATCCTAGTTACTCTTATTAAATAAAAACCCTGAGTCAGATATCAAGGGTGAAAGCTGAAAGATCAGAGAAGCAGAGCAGAAGCCACTAGAGACTTCTTACCTCTACAAATCCTCAGATAGGCCGGGCAGTGGTGGCGCATGCCTTTAATCCCAGCACTTGAGAGGCAGAGCCAGGCGACTCTCTGTGAGTTCGAGGCCAGCCTGGTCTACAGAGTGAGTTCCAGGACAGGCACCAAAACTACACAGAGAAACACTGTCTTGAAAAAACCAAAATAAAATAAAATAAAAAACAAATCCTCAGACCGAATGGGGGCCGAGATCCTGTCTCCATTCGTCTTATATTCCTGTCTCTACCTCACTAGTGCTGGGGTTAAAGGTGTGTTCCACCATCACCTGTTTCTCTTCTAGACTGGTTCAATCTCATGTAGCCCAGGGTGGCCTTGAACTCCTGATCTTCCTGCTTCCTCCTCCCAAGTGCTGGGATTAAAGGTGTGTGCCACCACTGCCTGGCCTCCATGGTTAACTAGTGGCTAGCTCTGCCCTCTGATCTCCAGACAAGCTTTGTTTGTCAGAACAGAAACAAAATGTCACACAACACTAGAACACAGAAGAGAAGCCAAAAACAACTTCGTAGTTACATCTTTCATGCGAGCTGCAGTACAGAGACACCATGGCATGTGGGCTTGAGCTGCAACATGGCGGATTCCCATTCTTACATGGGCTGCAGAAAGAGGTTTGTCTCAGCTGCTGCCTGCAGGCTTGAGAACACAGCTGCATGCTCTATGGTGGGTTAGGGTTTCTGCTCAGACAGACAAAAAGGGTTAGAGATGAACAGCAAGGACAAATTCAGACAGCAAGGCCTCTAAACAGGTCACGGTGTACTTAAAAGATGTACGTAGGCTTGAAAGAGAAGAGAAAATATATACAGCTTAGATTAAAAATATAGATTTAAAATAATAAAGTCCTTAGAAAGGGGTGTAAAGTAATATAAAGAAAATGAGCCACAAGAAGATGAAAAATGCACAGTCTGGATTATGTATGCTGTGTTTTCTTTGGGTGTTTTGACTTTTAACAAGCTAACTGCTGAGCGACATTTGATTGTGGGGGCTGCTAGGTTAAACCAATCTATATATTTTGAAAATATCTTGACTTCAAAATTTGAGTCTGGGGATATGTTGCTTTGGGAAGAAGGTTCTGCTTTTGTTTCCACAGAAGATAAGAGGCTGTGGACTCATTCTGGGTTAGGAAAAATCAGGCTTGACTAAGGAAGACCCCCTGAAAATCCTGAGTACAGACATGGGAAAATAAACGTAAAGTAACTACAAGACATGTGATGTATATTTTACCTGCTTAAACATAAAATAAGAAATTATCTGTGGCTGGCTTGTGTACAATATACTGTTTATATTTATATTAATATATGTGTATATGTTACCTTTAAAAGTTTATATATTTTCAGAACAAGGGGACCAGACACAAATAAAAACACATGGCCTAGATGATCCAACAGTTCAATACTCTGTTACAGTTTCCTCTGAGTTCTGCATCCAAACAGCTTCAAGGCTGCTGGCTGAGGTGGACCAGCCACACAAAATACCCCAGTTAGGACTTGACCATAATTCTAAATTTTCTCAGGGTTCCCATAAGATTGCAAACACCCCCAATCAACAGGAAGTAGTCGAGAGACCTACACCCAAATTCCCAAAATATTGTTTATGAATGTTTGTTTTCATTTAAAGGGGGTTGGTTATAAATTGTTAATGGTCATAGTCAATCTCTTTCTAAAGAAGAAAGGGGGATATGATATAGAAATCATGGGGAAAAGGGTAGATTATTATGATGAAAAAATGGTAGATTATTGAATCTATTTCAATCCAAAAAACAACTGTTAAGCTAAAAATATTTTACATTGGTATTGATTTTAGTTTATTGATACAAATTTAAAGTCAATTTTGTTATATTGTATGTATATTTCTACTCTTATTTAAGGTATTGTGTTTATACAGCTCAATTAAAAATATAATGTATAATTTAAAATACAGATTAATAGTTATCTATAATAGTCAAACCTATAGTCATGTTAGTTAGGTTTTCTAGGTGTGCAGAGATATACTCCAGATAGATAGCTAATCTTCAAATACTTCAAAGACCTACTAATTATAGCATTTAAAATGTTTTAATAACTTAGGATTCTTTTGACATGAGACACATCTGCTCCTGGCAGCAA